AAAATGTACCTTTGCGCCTTAGAACTAATGGTGTGTTACATCGTGTCGCAAAAGTAGTCATGCTGGAATGTCAGCCTCTGTTTTTGTGTGTATGGTGGTGTATACCAACCGCAGCCACCATCATCATCTTGCCGCAGTGCTACTAAAACTTCCCTATTTTTTCCTCCGCTCTGCTGGATAGAAGGGGCGACAAGTTCGCGCGCCGCGAGACAAAAGCGAAATCTGTTAGTGCGCAGCTCTTCGTCTCGGAGGCGCAGCGCAGCGCACTTCTTTATCAGAAGCATAACAGGATCGCCAACTTCTTAACTGAGTTAAAAACTGAGCCGGCGGGGCTTGACGACTGTGCCAAAGACGGAGGCGCAGGGCGGGAGGGGCTTACGCTCAGCCAGGCTCGGCTCTCGGCTCCGGCTCTGTCGTCGGCCATCCGTCACAGGGGCACGGGCCGGGCCCGCGACGCGGAGCTTCGTTCGCACCTAGGCCAGCTCGCCTGCCTTCGCTCACGCTGAGAAAGCGAAAGTGCGCCTCTCGTGCCCCCCCCCTCTCTCTCTCTCTCTCTCTCTCTCTCTCTCTCTCTCTCTCTCTCTCCCTCCCTCTCTCTCTCTCTCTCTGACGAGCACTTCTCCAACTGCGTTACAAAGTGATTCCGAGAGGCGGCCGGAGGTCAGGGGCGGCCCTGCTGTCTGCGAGGCGGGGCTCTGTTTAGTGCCGTGCACGAGCGGCGCACTGCCTCCCAACCCCCGCTGCCGCTGGCCGAATGAAATTTTCATATTTATCATGTTGACGTCGTTCCAGCAGCTGCTTCCTCTGCTCTGGCTTTCCCTTGACCAGTCCTTCCAGGAAGCAAAACTTGCATCCGGCGAGATTCGGAAAGTGAAGGGGACAGTGAGTGGATGATGGGGGAGGCGGGAGGGACTTAAGTGAGTGAGAGGGAGAGAGTGACACGAGAGGGTTAGATGAAGCGAGATGTGTGTCCTCGTTGAATGCGTGGGGATGTCACTCTACCGGTGGCAGCCGCTGTCGCGGGGCCGCGAGTAAGATGCTTCTCTCGCCAGACCAGACTCTCGCCATGGTCTCGCATGGGCCCTCGCCGCAGCCTGCTGACCCGAGAGTGTCATCCTCGCTCTTCTGCTCCCTCCCTTTCCCTCTCTCCCTTCCCTTTTGCGGACCCTCTCTCGTTCCACGCTGTGCCATATTCCCACTCACTCCGCTCCGCCTTTTGTTAACCTCGCTCCACCTCCCCTCTCCCAACCCCAAACTGTCATACGCCTAACGACCTTTAACCCCGCGCCCCTTCGCCCCTCCTCTGTCCCTTAAACACGCCGCCCGGCCCGCCCCTGACATTGCCGCCTTGTCCACTATCTAGTTCATGGCTCCCTTAGGCGGCTTGTATTTCAGGTGGTGGTCCTTGGCCCCGGCCCGTCTGCTCGCCTCAGGGCGTCGCGGCCCAACGGGGCCGGCTCCACGCGGACGGTATATATTCCTGGCCGTAACTTAACACTCCAAGTTACGTTTCGTAACGGGAATTTCGAACTTTCGCGGGTGCCGTCATTTCTCAGAGCATATAGAGATTTTAAAAGTTGTGTGTTGCTGCCGCAAAATTGTGAAAACCAAACTTGTTGCGAAAGTACGTTTTTGTAACGTCGACCATTTCTCTCGCGTGCTTTAGAAAAAGTTAAAAATTCACAGTGGGAAAAAAATGTGGCGCGTTGAGTGAGTGGCGCACTGTGCACGTCGCTTTGTTTTCGCGAAAGAATGCAGTAGTTCGTGATGCATTTTGGGAATGGCAGCGGCGGGCAGTAGTGGATGCGTGTTGACTCTCCGCCACGCCGCGCCACTCTACGCCGCGGTGTCGCGGGGCCCCCCACGGGCTGCACGGCGGGCGCGTTGGAGCGCCGCCAGGAATGCCTGACGCGGATCAAGGATTTCGCGAATGAATTCCAAGGGAGTACTTCTTGGCTTGGCTGCGCGGTGCGGTGCCCCTGCCCCGCCGCGGCGCCTCTGCGAGTGGGAAGGGGATCTAGGGGGCGAGGCGGGCACTGGCTCGAAAAAACCTTTTACGGCAAATACAAAGAGAGTGCAGCGCGCTGCATCCTATTCCAGAGTGTCAGAGTGTTTCGCACTTCACTGCTGCGAGGTCAATTTACATAAAGGTATTTTTCCTGGAGATTTTGTACGGCTAGCTTTTCCCGTTAAAACACACTGCCGCGCGTGTTCTGTCCATGCAATGCTTTCTCGTGCAGAGACTGTCGGTACGTAGAGGTGCGCCCCGTTTCCTCTGAAATTTCCCCTCACTTCCGGCGTTGCTCCGCGCGTGGTGGTGCAGAAGCTCGTCAGTCCGTGACCTTGTCGAGCAAGGTGCGCGGGTGAACACGACCGCACGAGCGCCGCCTGCTCCTGGAGGAACGTCCCGGAGGCCACAGTTTCGCCCGCACCACACGAGAGCACCGCCTTGCCCCGCCCGCGTGAGACAGCGGGACGCACGGTGCGGCCAAGACGAATCGCGGCCGTAAAGAAAGCAATGTTCTGCGCGCCGGGTATGGACACACTCGTTTGTCGGCTGCTGCTGCCGCCGTGGCCCGTGGCGTGGCCCGTGGCGGCGGCGGCGGCGCCGCTGCTGGGGGCCGCGCCGGAGCGCCTGCGGACGACAGGGTAGGCAACGCGCTCGGCAGCCCTGCGGCACGGGCCGGCCTACCCTAGAGCGCGGCGGGCGCTCGGCGGCCCCGTCGCGTCGATCCACCTTAGAGAAGGGGGAAAATGAAACCGGGCCTCGATACGTAC